ATCTCACAATCCTGAGATCACGATCTGAGCCAAAACCAAGAGTCAGATACTTAACTGACTGAGCCACCCAGGCGACCCTTGCCACAGAATAGTTTTAAAATAGTTGACCCTTGGGGCATCTGGGTGGTGTAGTGGGTTAAGTGACTTTTTTTTTTTTTTAAGATTTTATTTATTTATTTGACAGAGAGAGACACAGAGAGAACAGGAACACCAGCAGGGGAAGTGGGAGAGGGAGAAGGGGGGCTTCCCGCCAAGCAGGGAGCCTGATGCGGGGCTTGATCCCAGAACCCTGGGATAATGACCTGAGCCGAAGGTAGACGCTTAACGACTGAGCCACCCAGGCACCCCTGGGTTAAGTGTCTGACTCTTGGTGTCAGCTCCAGTTGTGATCTCAGGGTCGTGATATCAAGCCCCACTTCAGGCTTCTGGCTCTGGACTCAGTGCAGAATCTGCTAGTCCCTCTCCCTCTGTTCCTCCCCTGGCTCTTGTACTCTCTCTCTCTCTCAAATAAATAATCGTTTTTTTTTTTTTTTTAAAGACTTTATTTGTCAGACAGAGAGAGAGAAAGAGCATAAGCAGCAGGAGCGGAAGGGAGAGGGAGAAGCAGGCTCCCTGCTGAGCAAGGAGCCCGATACAGGACTTAATCCCAGGACCCCTGGGATCATGACCTGAGCTGAAGGCAGATGCTTAACCGACCGAGCCACCCAGGCGTCCCATATAAATAATTATTAAGAAAAAAAAACCCCAAAAACATTCATTCTATGGCAGCTATCCCTCAGAGGAATCTTTTTTTTTTTTTAAGATTTTATTTATTTATTCGAGAGAGAGCAAGAAAGAGCATGACCAGTGGGGAGGGGCAGAGGGAGAAGCAGACTCCCTGCAGAGCAGGGAGCCGGACACAGGGCTTGATCCCAGGACGCTGGGACCATGACCTGAGCCGAAGGCAGATGCTTAACCGACTGAGCCACCCAAGCGCCCCTCCTGAGAAGAATCTTAAGAAAGGGATGGTAGTAATATTTCATAAGTGATTTGACTATACATGACCTACTGTCATTCTTTTCTAGGCCTACAATTCTTGAAATATTAGTTTCTTTATATTATTTTCTACTTTTTTTTAAGATTTATTTTAGAGAGAATGTGCACAAGCAGAGGGAAAGGGACAGAATCTCAAGCAGACTTCCTGCTGAGTGCAGAGCCTGACATGGGGCTTGATCCCAGGACCCTGGGATCATGACCTGAAGGCAGATGCTTAACCAACTGAGCCATCCAGGCACCCCATGTTTCTTAAAATAGATATAATTTTAAAAATTATAGTATTGGGTTCTAAACAAAGAATCTTATGGAAATCTTCAGCAAAAATTAACTTTGGGACTTTGGGATGCAAAGCTTAACACAGGATTTTTTTGACACATCACAAACCTCAAGCCATGTGAAAACAAGAAATTATATACATATTAAAACATATATTCACAAAGAACATAGAGCAAAAATATCATTAAGTCCTTTTTTGGACAGAAAAATGAAATGGGCTTTGCTGTTTTCATTAGGCTGATCCCCCTACTTAAAGGAAAGAATCTATAACTATAGAGAAAAAATTGATCATTATGAGGGGAGGTGGGTGGGAGGATGGGTGAAATAGGTCAAAAGAATTAGAGTACACTTATCGTCGTGAGCACTGAGTAATGTGTAGAATTGCTCAATCACTATACTGTACACCTGAAACTAATATAATACTGTATGTTAACTATACTGGAATTAAAACAAAAATAAATAGTCTAAAAGTCTCTGCCTGGCATTCAAAATCTGCCACACTCTAGTCTGAATCTAATTTGCCAATTTTGACTCTCATTGTTCTCCAAGAATACCACCCACTTCAGAGGGTGGTTACTTAATTATGTCCCAAACTCATCAAGCTCATGATAATTTCAGGTTCCCTCATCCAGAATGTGTTTTCCTTCACTCCATTTATGTTAATCCTACCTGTTCTTTTTTTTTTTTTTTAAGATTTTATTTATTTATTTGACAGAGAGAGAAACAGCGAGAAAGGAAACACAAGCAGGGGGAGTGGGAGAGGGAGAAGCAGGCTTCCCGCGGAGCAGGGAGCCCGATGCGGGCTCGATGCAGGGCTCGATCCCAGGTCCCTGGGATCATGACCTGAGCCGAAGGCAGACGCTTAAGGACGCTTTTATATACATGGAATCATACAGTATGTCTTTTGTGTCTGGCTTCCATTACTGAATATTACATGAGACTCATACATGTTTTGTAACAATGTTCATTTTCATTCTGTATAGAAAAGATGTTTATACTCATTTAGATAAATGGACAATCCATTTTTATCCCTTCCACAGCTGATGGACCTTTGGGTTACTTAACTTTTAAAAAAGTATGTATGCCTGGGCGCCTGGGTGGCTCAGATGGTTAAGCGTCTGCCTTTGGCTTAGGTCATGATCCCAGCGTCCTGGGATCGAGTCCCGCTTCGGGCTCCCTGCTCCTTGGAAGCCTGCTTCTCCCTCTGCCTCCCTCTCTGTCTTTCATGAGTGAGTAAATAAGATCTTTTAAAAAAAAATTAAAAAAAATTAAAAAAGTATGTATGCCTTGTCTCCCCAGCTGGAATGCAAGCTTCATGAGGGCAGGGACCACATATTATACTGTTTTACATTTACTTTAGTATTTGCGTAATGCTAAGCACATAATGGGTGCCCCCAATCACACTAAATAATGATTAAATAAATATGAGTAATTTAGGAGGTGAGAAGAAAATAATTAGTGCTGGAAATCAATATTTTTAAAAAAGATTTTAGTTATTTGAGAGTGAGTGAGAGAGAGAGAGAGAATGAGTGGGGGGAGGGGCAGAGGGAGAAGCCGACTCCCCGCTGAGCAGGGGGCCCAATGCGGGGTGAAATCCCAGGACCCTGGGATCATGACTTGAGCCAAACGCAGAGGCCTAACTGACTGAGCCACCCAGGTGCCCCATTAATTAGTATTTTTAGAGATAGTTATATAATTGGCATTTTGGAACAGCACTACTGCTTTAATAAATCAGAAGGTTTGACCTCTCCTATTTATTTACACCCAAGAATTGATCATTTCTTTTTCTTCCTAGCCAAATGAAAGCTAAAAATGTAATTTATCAACTATTTTCAAAAATAAAATTAGAACAGGGGTGCCTGGGTGGCTCAGTCGTTAAGCATCTGCCTTCGGCTCAGGTCATGATCCCAGGGTCCTGGGATCGAGCCCCACATCAGGCTCCCTGCTAGGCCAGGAGCCTGCTTCTCCCTCTCCAGCTCCCCCTGCTTGTGTTCCTTCTCTCGCTGTCTCTCTGTGTCAAATAAATAAATAAAAATCTTTAAAAAAAATAAAAATAATATTAGAACAACTCAAAAGGTAATTAATTATTCAAAAGCTTAATTATCTGTTCATCTTTGTACAGTATCTCACCAGAGCTCCTTTATTTTTATATTCTATTTCCCTATATTTATATTAACTAATATAAATTTAAAAAAACACACGAAGAGAAGTCCAAAGTTAGATTCCCTACAAAACAGAAGCAAAAATTCTAGTATCTAGGGTCAGCAGGAAATTAATCATTCCTATTCAAAAGTAAAACAAACCAAATAGCTTTTTAGTTCTAATATGCTCTTCTACAGTCAGTGAACATTTCCTAAACACTGTGTAAACATCTCAAAACAGTATTTATACCACCTAATTTTCAGACCTACTCCGATATTCTCTTGGAGAGTCAGTTGCGCATTTTTATTTGCTTGATTTTCATAAAACTAGAGCTTCATCAACTTTCTCAGCAAACAGGAAAGTACACTTGCGGGCAAGATTTTCTGATATATCTATGTCTTGGCCAAGTACATATATGCATGTCTCTAATATTAGATTTAATATTAATTTTAACAATACACAGTCTGTAAGAAGTCCTGTAAGTTTTGTTCAAGTCAGTAATTTGATGTGACCAAAAATAGAGAAGGTAAAGTGGTAAAGAAAATGTAAAGTCTAAGAAACAAGGATAATCCCAAATTATCAATGGGATTCAATGCAGAAAAGAACAGATGTTACCAGATGAATGTAGCCAATTCATTACTAGCTAAGGATAATTATCAAAGCCAAATTTCGTCTTTTTTAATGTAAAGTAACATTTTAATTTGTTAAGTTTTCAAAACCAAGGCAAATAATAAATGTGTTATTATTATTATTGTATGTACTAAAGGCTTTCTTGGAAAAGAAGTAGGTTTTTAAAAATATTAAGTTATATTTCTTCATAACCTCTTCATGAGGGAAGAAAGTAAAACAATAAAAAGTTAAATTACAAATGAAGGATAATGTACTACAGTAGAAAAACCAACAAATATGTGGTTATACCATAAGACTTGCTATCTCAAGACTAATTCTATTATAAAGTGTTCTATTAATAAGGGAAAACTTAGAGAAATCTGCAATTAGTTTAAAAACATATTCTAAAATTAAAATATTCCTTTATCAGTTGATATTTAATTTCTAAAGATCCACAGAAATGAATTAAAAAAAAAGATTTCTACTGCATTGTTAAGTTGAAACCTATCCACTGTTTATTTTTGTAAAACAGCTAATCATACATGTTTCTTGTCTTGTCATTTAAAAGATTTTCCTCCTCATAGTGCAAGAGAATTTCAATGTGTGGGCCCTCTTTCTTAGTTTAACAGGAGGCTACTTCACCATCAGTCTCAGTTGGGAAACTACAAGTACAGAAATTTTACATGTGTTATACTCTCTCGTATCTTCTAAAATTTTGGAGGAATTTTGTAATTAAATTACACTTCAAGTAATTATACTTCTGGATTTTATCCTCCAAGTATCAGCCACCCTCCCAAACTCCCCCAACCCCCAGATAGCTAGAGCACAGTTCTAAGGGCAACTTAGCATTAATGAAAACATTCTGTCAGATTACTTCCTAAAAACATTCCAACATTCAAGAGTCTTTGGGAGAGTCCTAGCAAACCCAACTGTGTTACCTCTTTATCTTTTAGTCCCAGGAGCAATACTTCTTCCATAAGGGTGAGGCGAATATCCTTAGAGTCACCAAAGTCTTCATGGTCTGGACACCTGTCTTGATTAGTGTCTTCCTCACTTTCCACTTTCTTTTCAGAGCTCTTGCCTACTTCAGTGCGACGGGCCCGGTGAGTTAAAGTGGTCATTCTCACCTGTTTCTGGAGGGGGTGATGAAAAAAAATATCTATAAGTGAGCGTACGTAAACAAAAACATACATATTCATACAGACCTACCACAAATGTATACAAATATGAAATATATATATAAACTTAAACAGAGAAAGAAAGGGGTAATGACCAGAAAAATTAGGTGGATAACACAATATGTTTTCCAAAGTACAATAGCTTGAAGGCACAGAAGGCATTGACAGAAAATCAAATCAGTAATCTTTAAGACCGGTACAAATGATCTTTTTTTTTTTTTTAAAGAAATGATCATCTCTTAAGCCTGCTGATTTTGTGTGCATAATCTATAATCCAGGAGTATATATGCATCATTGTAATTCCTTTTTCACAAAATGGATCCTCCCCAAGTTAAATAATATGGGACAGCAAAAAATTGTGAGAATCCAGGCCCAAAACGCATTTAATAATTTATATGTAACTTCTATAAACATTCAATGGCACATCATAAAATATAAAAAACAGAGAAAGTAAAAAAATAAGAAAAACTAAGTATATATATTCTCAGATTTTCTTCTCATAATAACTCATCTCATGCACTCCCTTTGGAAATCACATCTACAGAGTAACACTCGGAAGATCATGTGTAGTAATTCCATACCGACAGAAAACTTTCATCTCTATCCCTAGCTAGCCATCTTGCAAATAGCTGCCAACAAAAAGTATCAGCAAGAGAATGTTAAAAGATTAACGATTTCTCAATTGCAAAAAAAAAAATCAAAGCACATGCCCTTTTACACTATGTACTACAAATGTTTTAAAAAATTTAGTCAAGAGAAATGGCACTAAATCATGTATGATAAAGTTTAAAGTTAGCATACTTTATTTTAAAATACATCTAAATGCCAGTTTTTAAGATGATATACAATAAATATTTTAATCAGTAATTATTTAAAAGAATATCTTTTTCAAGATCAAAAGAATGCATTCAAGAGCCTCTGTGATTGGATCCTGTTCTAGCAATATTTCCCATTACATTACTCTCAATTACGTACTGTTAACAAACCATTTCTCAAACATGTCCCATGCTGCCATTTCGGCTCCTTTGTACACGCTGGTGCCCTCTCCCCTTTCCTTTCCTCTTTATATTCTACCCATTCTTCAAAGGCCTATCGAGGATCCAGGTAAAGCCTTAAGTGAATCCCCTTCTCCATTACCCTTATGTCCCATGGCCAGAAATGGTCTCTCTCTCAGCTGTACTTTCACAGAACTTTATTTATACTTACATCCTTTAAAGTATTTATTATAGTCTTTCTTTTGGTATGGCTGTCTCTCAACTGTAAACTTCTTGAGGGCAGGGATAGTGTCTTCTTGGGTTTTTATAGTCTCCATAGCAACTAGCACAATGTCTTTAGCGTTGTAACTGCTCAATAAATATATACTGATTAAAATGAATACTCAGAAATGCATGTGAACATTTTTAAATAGAAATACAAGTGAAGCGACTTACAAAAGATTCTTTGTACAAGGCTATATTTCAAATATAATTCTTGGTGGGAGGCGGGAAGAAGTGTGAAGGAGAAAAAAACAACCATGAAATAATGCTTAAGGGCATTAACCCTATCTGGCACTGTAAACAGGGTTTACTTCCTAACCCAATCCAAGAAACTTTAAAGTCTTCAGAGAAAAAAAAGGGGGGGGGGAGATTTTGAGGAACTAATACCCCCTGGACATTTACTAGTTAAAAATCCTATTTGGAAAAAAAAAATGACCAAAAAGTAACTAAACAAGAACCTCCCTCTCCCCATAAAATAAAAAATCTGAAGGCTTTTTTTGGACATTAGGAAATGTATATCCTCCGTTGCTTACCTGACGTTACTCCTGGGTTACGGCCGGACACAGGCAGCAGCTTGCGCTCTATTTTAGGGGGGACACCTGTTCCTCCACGTCCCTCCCCCAACCCCGTCCTAGTAGGTAAAAAAACTTCTCAGCCACGCAGAGAGCACAAACTTCCTGATCCTTCGATGCAGAGAAGGAATAACACATCAGCTTCCTCAGAATCCCTAGGCAACCTACCTTGGTGTTTCTTCATTGGACCAATCAGAAACCGCCAAGGTTGAGTCCAGCCAATCGGAGCTTACAAGGGGAGGCTCTCCTCGGGCTATTGTGTTGCGATCCCGACAAACACCACCAAAAGGAGGCAGGTTTGGGTCAACCTGACAGCTGGTCAATCCAATGAAGTAACCTTGGTAGAAGAGAGGAAAGGGAGCTGTGCTCCCCACCCCCATTAAACCGGCCAATCAAAGCGTTCAGTGAGCGAGCACAAGCTGCTGATCTACAAAGGTTTTTGTTGGTCAATCTCTGTAGCAGGTGTGTTAACTGTAGCAGTGTATTTTAGGACAATTAGGTGAGATGTGCTGGGATCCAAAAAAGCTAAGAATAAATAAACATTTTAAAATTGGTTGTTTTCGACAATTAGCTTGTCCCTAACTTTCCTGTTCCAGAAAAACCTGATCTGGGTCAGTTTGTGGACGTTTATTTGGTTTACATCAAACAGGATAGGTACATTTCTACCATTACATACACACGAACCTTCTATATTAGCGCTTGTTACTGGCAAACCTATGGATAATCTTATGTTTTATAATATGGCTGCTGAAACTGCAAGAAGCAAACAGACCAAGTTTTAAGTCTTCCTTTTTTAAGGCAAAGGAAATGGTCAAAGCTGAAACCAGGTCCCATGTTTCTCACTAAACGCACAGTATCTTTCACACTACCACTCAAAGTTCTGGGAAGTGTGCTTAACTCTTGCAAAGTATCATCTACCAAAATGATCTCAAAATTAGTACCTAAACATTTTCTGCTAATTAAATAAAAATTAGAAGCCATGGAATAGTCTAGATGCTGAACAATATTTTATTTATGTTGCCCAAAATGCCAGACCTTAAAAATCAGTCCTCATTTTGCCTTGAAGTAAAAAAAAAGTTAAAAAAGATTAAAAAAAAAAAAAAGCACGACTAAATTTTACTTAAGTCACTCAAACGGATAGGAAGTAGAAAATGTTGTCCCAGAATAGTAATTTTTTATCTCCTTCTCCCTTCCTTGTCAGCCCCTTATTTTGCCTCTGCCTTTACAAAATCCTCCTATCAGATGCCAGCCTTGTTCCCAGTCCCACCACCTGGCTCCAGAAGTATGCTGCTGAACCCGAGTCATTGTCTCAATTCCTTGTTCTTCTAGAGTATTCTGTTGCCACTTACGCCAGTTCTTTTGGCAGTTGCGCCCAACATAGTAAATCCAGACACACACTGACATATTTAAAATATGACCATTACCAATTTTTAATGGTATGTTCTGTATTACTATGTTAATATACTCTATCAAAGTACCGAAGAACATTGTTTTAATGACACAGGGACAAACAGCCAGTTAAGTGTTATAGTTTTAACATAAGTAAAAAGTAAATTCCTACCAAAATTTAATAACAAAATAAACATTATTTGTTTTTAAAATTGGCTCTAGAGGGCCTTAAAAGTTAATATATGTTTAAAGGAAGTATCCACCAAAATGGAAGATAGATCAATATTGAGTAGATAATGAGCAAAATCAATTATGACACTGGTACTTTTGGTTTTATTCAAAAGTTTTCTTGCATTGTCTCAGATAAGACTAAGGATCACAATATATGACAGCTAAAAATTCATTTTACTGTACTAACTGCTTAAGATTACATATAAATTTTCACAGGTAGGGCAAATACACGTTAAAATAGTAATACAGTGTCCTGTAGTTTAAATGTTGAATACTTCGCAAACGTGCAGAAGAAAAAAATAATTTTTATATACGCTCCCTTGGTTCACTAAACTTTCTTCTTTTTGGCACTGACTCTTGACTAGAAGAATCAAAGTGATGAAGGACCTGTCAAAAGAAAACAACTACTAAGGATACTTTCCAGTTTACATGTCTTTACCTTTAGATTTTTTTTATGTTTCTGAGATTTGTTGGTTTGTTCCTTCCTTCCCTTTCTTTTAAAAATTATATGTAGTGTAACTATTTCCTACTAGGATAGGATACCTGAGTTCTTTAAAAAGTAGGGTAAATTTTATTACTTTTATATCTTCTGATGGCTGCTGAAAGTATATACTTATAAAGTGTAAGGTCTTCATTAGGGTTGTTGGAGAAGTCGAAAACATACATCTAACATTATGCCCTCAAAATAGTAAAATATTTTTGGGGGATAAGAAGGAAAAAATATTTTTATTTTTTTTTTTTTAAAGATTTTATTTTTATTTACTTGAGAGAGAGACACAGCAAGAGAGGGAACACAGGCAGGGGGAGTGGGAGAGGGAGAAGCAGGCTCTCCACCGAGCAGAGAGCCCGATGCAGGGCTCGATCCCAGGACTCTGGGATCATGACCTGAGCTGAAGGCAGACGCTTAACGACTGAGCCACCCAGGTGCCCTGGAAAAAAGATTTTTAAATGAGCTGCAGTTAGAGAAATATTCTACCTTGGCACCATGTAAGATTTAAATCATGTATTCCTTTTGTATCCCTGGTACTTAGCAGTGCCTGACAGATATTAGACATTCACCGCACACTTTTGAATGAATGGGAGAACAAATAAAGAAAATTCCTGGGGTGCTTGGGTGGCTCAGTCAGTTAAGCGTCTGCCTTCTGCTCAGGTCATGATCCCAGGATCCTGGGATCGAGCCCCACATTGGGCTCCCTGCTCAGTGGGGAACCTGCTTCTCCCTCTCCCACATTCTCCCTGCTTGTGCTGTCTCTCTCTCTCTGTCAAATAAATAAATAAAATCTTAAAAAAAAAGAAAATTCCTAAAAGTATTCCCTGAGTTACTCAGCTTTGATTTTTTCTGAAAAAACTCACTAATGATACAAATTGAATGATTTTGGGGAAAAAAATCAAAGCTTAATACACTGGGAAAAGTTAGACAACTTAATATATTAATGAAGTATCAGTTATTTCATCCCCTTAAGTTATGTAAATTGAAAATGATATTAACTATATTTTTGAGATTACCCCTTTAACATTTGATTTTTAAAGCAGTCTTAGATATTCAGTTGTCTAAATGTTAACCTACTAATAATACTAAAAATTCTAGTTGAAAAATATAAATATTTATCTCAGAAATGACAAATACATGATCTGATTGGGTAAAATAAGGTCCCAAATATGAAACAACTGTTAAAAAAATTTAGGTCAAGAAAATTTTTTTCTCCTAAGGTACTAAGAGGAGATGTTATTTTTTAGGGAACAAGTTTATTTGGTAACTTATTTATAGTTCACTTTTGTTCTCTAGGAAGCTCAGATCAAATCTGTGGCCCAACTTTAGCTCTATGTAAATAAAATGGCCTAAATATTCTTATACTCTCATTTTCTCATTCTACTCATATTTTTCTGGATGTACTGATTTTATTTTTTTATAAATTTCTCCAACTACTTAAATCATTCATGAAATCAGTAAATATTTATGTGGAAAAAATTAATTAACATAGCACATCTTATTTTAAAATCACCTCATTTTTTAGAACCAATTACATATAAACAAGATTTGGATATCAGTACTTTGAGGTAATATCCAGGGATATTACCATATTTATCATTTAAAATTTAATCTAGGGGTGCCTGGGTGGCTTAGTCCGTTAAGCATCCAACTCTTGACTTTGGCTCAGGTCAGATCTCAGGGTTATGAAATTGAGTCAGGCTCTGCACTGGGCATGGAGCCTGCTTAAGATTCTTTCTCTTTCTCTTTCCCTCTCCTTCTGACCCTCCTCCCTGCTCTCCCTCTCTAAAAAAATAAATTAAAAATAAATAAATAAAAATAAAATTTAATCTATAGTAATGATAGTCTGATACTTGCCATTTTATTCAATGGCAATTGAATTATATAACCTATATATTATCATAAAACTTACTGTTTTCCCAGGTTCGAGTTGACTTCTCTTCCGATTTTCTTTAGAAGATTTTACTGGTTGATTTCCATTAGCCTCCACAAAGATGGAATAATTACTAATTGGTTATTTCTCAAAGAACAACCAACACTTGATTTTTTAACTATGGGCAACTATATGCAGTTTTTTTTTTAAAAAAAAAAAGCTTTCCTGAGATATAATTCAGATGTCATACAATTCATTTATTTATAATTTTACAGTTCAATAATTTTAAGTATATTCAGAATTGTGCAACATCATTGTAGTCAATTTTAGAACACTTTCATCACTCCAAAAAGAAGCCCTGAGGTTGATTTGTTCCCTTTCTTCATTCTCTTCTTTTTTTTGAAAATTACACCTAGTATAACTATTTCCTACTAAGATAGGATACCTGGGTTCTTTGAATGTAGAGTAAAGCTATCACTTCCCAATTCCCCCCTTCTCCCACTAGCTCTAAGATTTTCTCTCTCTATAGAAATCTCTATTCTGGACTTTCAGATAAATAGAATCATATAATATGTGGACTTTTGTAACTGGTTGCTTTCATTTAGCATGATTTCAAGGTTTATCCAGGTTAAAGCATACATCAGTACTTCATTCCTTGTATGGCTGAATAATATTCCATGGTATAGATATACTATATTTGTATATCCATGTGTCTGTTGATGGATATTTAGGTTTCTTCCACCTTTTGGCTATTGTAAATAATGCTATCTATGCAGTTTTTAAAATGAATATTGGATGATGAAACATTATTAGCTGTCATATTACTATTCTCTAAAAGGACATACTTATTTTCCAATGCTGAAAATGTACTTTTCAATAACTTTCTTAGTGTATATACTATTAAATATTTTCATTTCTTGCCCTTTCCTAACACTAATTCAGCTATGATTCTCAAAATCAGGAGTACTGTGACAGAGAAGTCATATTCAAAACCATGGGCAATTTCAGAAATGAATTTATGTCCCCGAAGTATCTTAATGTCATATTACAAGAAAATCCTTCCTAATACTTTTTTTTAAATTCTTGCTTTTCTCCCCATATTCTAGTAAAGGATACTCATCCTAAGTAGAAGTTGCCTAGAAGACCATTTTGCTGCAAGCTGTACTAATTTTTGAAATTCTTTTATCTCTTGCTTTCATCAGCATACTAGTTTGAATACTGCCTTCTGCCAGTTCAAACTTCCTATGGAGAATGTAGAAAAAGGGGACCTGGCAGGCTCAGTTGGAAGAGCATATGACTCTTGAATGTGGAAAAAAGGGCACCTAAAAATGGCACTATAATCATTGGTGTGCTGGTAAATGTTTAACAACCAGTTTTCTAGGATTAACAAATCCTGAGTTGAGGCATTTGCTGATTTCCTTGATGTGAATATTCTCATCATGTCCGATTTCAAGCTACCAACATGACATCACTGAATGAAGAGTTGGGAAGAAATGCCCCTATACCACTGTTAGAGTGTGCTATTTGTTTCCTAAATTTAGATATAATATTTTACAGAATGGTTTTTCTTCATCTCTGAACCTCTGAGTAACTTAAAGGTCTAAAATAAAATACAAATTTCCATTTAGAAAAATAGAAAACTAAAATAAAGCAGTGGGTTTTTTGCTTAAAAACATGAGATTCATTTTATGCAAAATATATACAAAACATTCATTTTTAATGTCTTATTAACAAGACAATCTATTTACAAGATAGAACATGAGAATATTTTGGCATTCTAGGCAATTCCTTGGGAGTCTGGAGGATAGTGTCATTTCTCAAAGCCTTTCCTGAATTCTCCTCTTTTATGTACCTTCAATAAAATTCACCATTCTTTCCTTTGTTCCATGTAGCCTATTCAAACTGCTATCATGGCCCTCTATCACTGCTTGTTGACTTCCAATTACTAAACTTTAAGCGAAGATCAGGAACTATGTGTTATTCATGTTATATCTCCAGCACCCAGTAAAATATCTGACACATAATAAGTGCTTACTAAATATTAGTCCAATAAAGGAAGGATTAAGAAGTCAAATAAATTCACATATAGGGAAAAATTATAAGGTTAGAATGGAAAAAATCTAAAGGTACACTTACCATTTTATTCTGAAAGATTTTTCCACTTCTTGTTTTACTTTCAGACACATCAAGTTCAGATGTTTTACTGACTAACTGTTCAACCTAGAAAATAATAACACAAAATCACATAACATAATAAAAACTTTCCATAACATAATAATGGGGCTCCAAAATTCAATAAGATAAAATCTAGGGTCTTATTATGTTAATGAAAACCATTAATTTTAAGTAGTTCTTTTTTTTTTTTTTAAAGATTTTATTTATTTATTTGAGAGAGAGAGAAAGCACATGAGAGCAGGGGAGGGTCAGAGGGAGAAGCAGACTGCCCACCGAGCAGGGAGCCCGATTGGGGACTCGATCCAGGGACTCCTGGATCATGACCTGAGCCGAAGGCAGTCGCTTAACCAACTGAGCCACCCACGTGCCCAATTTTAAGTAGTTCTTACTGTCACAAAAAGGGCAAAGATAAAGATAGTGAAACTGACACTGTATATAATTGATCATTCACTGAACTGAAAAAGTCCCAAATGATCATCAGGCACTACACTACTCTTCCAGAAGATAAGAACTTTAGCTCACTCTCACTAGAGAAAGGGGAAGTGCAGAGGAAAGTGGACAATAATCAGTCCCATTATTTTCAAGTTCTTTTTATCTAAATGTTATATCAAGATTTTATTGTCTATGGAAAATGAAATTAATCGTGCCTGCTCCAGGCAACAAAAAGTATTATATACTCCATTTGTAAATACAAAAGGTGGTGGAATAATTGCTTAAGATTCTATCTAGCTCTGAAATTCTGAAATTCTATGAGCAGTATTTAGGTTTATTACTAAATAAACCCACAGTAATATACTCAAAACTTTCAACATATTTTTCAAATTTTGTTAAAAAGCATTCTTAAGACCTAATTTTCTTCTTCTTCTTCTTTTTTTAAAGATCTTATTTATTTATTTGACAGAGAGAGACACAGCAAGAGAGGGAACACAAGCAGGGCGAGTGGGAGAAGCAGGCTTCCCACTGAGCAGGAAGCCGGATGCAAGGCTGGATCCCAGCACCCTGGGATCATGACCTGAGCCGAAGGCAGATGCTTAACGACTGAGCCACTCAGGCGCCCCAAGACCTAATTTTTTTCTAAAAGACCTTGAATATAATAAGAAAACCTGAAAATTAACTAAAGAAGCATATGTCATAGTCTTGTGAAAAAAATTAAAAGTGAGATGAATTATCAAATTTATACCTGAGAATGAGAAATTGAAAGTTCTAGACTTTGTTTAGACCTCATAATTTCATCTTCCTCACAAATTAAACTTGGTTCTGTTAAAAAAAAAAGAGTTAAAATGGCATAAAATTGAATTATAAGTAAATTAATCTATGTTTTCATCAATTTCTTACCTCCAAGTTCAGAAGATCCAGGGTTTTTTTTCTGCTCTTCCATTTTAGTTTCAATGTCAAAATCATCCTACATAATTACATGAAGAAAAAAATGGACACATTTCAAAAAGCAATTAAAACAACTGGGTAGAAGTATTTATGAACAAATGTGCTTTACATGAAGGTTAAATATAACATAACACTACAACTACCTTACACTTGCTAGAAATAAAGTCCTATAATTACCATAACAAGGTACCATATTTATCCAAATAAAGTATAAACTACTACTTTACTTTGCAGGGTTGCTTTAAGGACAAATACACAACTCTCTCAAAAATATATAATGGTTCTAAGAACCCTTAGTTCTTACTATTGTTTGAGGGCAGTGAATTAGACAAGTTCATAAAACTACTACTTCTGTATCTCCGGAATCGCTATACAGATGTTATCATACGCTCTGAATAAAAAAATGCCCCAACCCTCTTCAGGGAGTTAGTGAAGAAAAAGCTCAGTCATGGTATGGTAGAAATAGCAAGAAGTTTAAGGTCTACTCTATAATTATTTTTCTCTTTGTGACATATGTCAAAGAGCTTTAAATATTTTAAAGAATGCAACATAAATCCCAGCTATATTTGTTTATAAACCATCACTGGGATTTAGGTTTTGAGAAGACTTCTTGAACTAAACTGGTTGAAAACTGAATTTTCTATTTGTTAGGATGTGGCAGAACCTAAATTAGAAAAGTCAGTCTCTATACATAAGTACTGAGGTTATAATTTAGAATAAAATGAGGTAACAGAACAACAACAAAGATTAGATTAAAAAACAATCATGTTAATGTGAAAGATTTCCTGGGAGGCAACAATTAAAAAAAGGCTTTTTTATATTTCTAGTCATCCATTCATTCAACCAATACTGAGAATGCACACTGTACACTTAAGTGCTAGGCACAGGAGGATTACGAATTTGAGACATATTTCCTGCCTTCCGGGAACTTCCAGGCTGCTTCAAGACAGTGACTTTGCAGGCCCCAAGGAAGTTCAAGCACAGGTCTAAAGTGAGCACCTAGTAGGGGTATGGTAGAAAGGATTCCAACATTAGCTGGGCGATTGGAGTAGGTTTTCAGTGGTTTTCAAATTATGCTCCAGACCAAAGAGTTTCCTTAGAGTCCACTATGAGGGTAGTTGAGGTGGTGAGTGGCTGGGCCTCCAGGACCATTCCCTGCTTCATTCAGAATAGTTGTGCTTTTAAATTTCTGATAATAATGTTTGTACCAAGGTAAAGAGTTTTAAAACGAAAAGCCGATACTTTCTTTAAGGTCCCTACCAACCTTGAGTTTATGATTATAATACAGTTTTTACATAAATATTAATGAGAACTAGAATTAGTCTTCAGAATTGAGTCAAAAATTTGTTACTATTGTACTTTATAACTCTTTAAAATGTACTGACACTTATATAATGCTCCTGTTCATCTTCTACATCATCTTTGTCCATGAGAATTTTTTGAAGTGGTGTTTTTAATTGTTTTGGAGACAATATAGCTGAATCAATATTTTCCATTCGTTCTTTCTCAGTAGTCACTTTTACTTTGAAGGTGTGAAAAGGTGTTGGGACTTCTCCCACATTTAAGTACATAGGCTCCCCTTCAAATATCACTCCTTCACAATCACCATCCTTAAAACCTGGAGGCTGGTAATCTGGGGGTGTAACTGCAAAAAGTAAGTATAAACTGTGAGGTTCATGAAATTGAAGAGAACATAATAACAATAATAATAAATACAGATTGAAGACATTTCAAATAGTATAGAAAGGCAACCTTTTTTTTCATATGAACTTGAATAAATTATTTATCATCCTTGATTTGGTTTTCTCATCTGTGAAATGGGGATAATAATAGTACCTACCCCATGGGGTCATTGTGGGTGTTAGATGAATTAAAGTGTGTAAAATGCTCAGACCAGAACTGGAACATTTTAAGTATTCAATAAATGTTAGTTGTTATTATTGTTGTTGCTTTATGTACTTCTAGAAGATATTACACATGTAAAATATATATTTCATATATATGTATATCCTTAACAAAACACAAATAAGATCATACTGTTCAATACCTAGCTGTTTTTTTTTTTAAAGATTTTATTTATTTGAGAGAGACAGAGCATGTGTGTGTGTGTGTGTGTGTGTGCATGTGGGGGGTGGGGAGGTTGGGGATGGGGAGGAGCAGAGGGAAAGGAACAAGCAGACTGGTGCTGAGTGCAGAGCCCAGTGGGGCTCAGTCTCATGACTCTTGAGATCATGACTTGAGCCAAAATCAAGAGTCGGAGGCTTAACCGACTTAGCCACCCGGGTGCCCCTATACCCACCTAGCTGTTTTTAACATTTCTTTTTAATCCATTTTTAATATTCCTTGGATAAATTATCAGCATATTCTTTTTAATAGTTTGCATAGTATCCTTATAAACCTATAACGTTGCATGTTTGTGTTAAGTATATTCTCAAGATACTTTTCTAGCTATAGAATTTCTGAATTAAAGAGAATGTGCATCTAAAATTTTGATACTGCTAAATTGTCTTCTAAAAATGTTGCACCTATATACATTCCCTCAAGAATTTATAAAAGTGCCTGCTTTCCCCCACACCCTTGCCAATAATTGGTTTATAAATTTTACTGCTCCGGTAAGTGAAAAGTGGCATCTCAACTGTTTCATTTCTTTCATTTGTGAGGTTGTACCTCACATGGATATGTTCATATCACTGGAAAAGTTTGTGTATATTTGAAAGTCTATTTTTTCAAATTTTTCTCTTTTTTTAAGATTTTATTTATTTATTGGATAGAGAGAGGGAGAGAGAACACGAACGGTGGGGAAGTGCAGAGGGAGAGGGAGAAACAGACTTCTCGCTGGGGGGGTGCTGATGCAGGGCTCAATCCCAGGACCCCGAGTTCATGACCTGAGCCAAAGGCAGACGCTTAACTGACTGAGCCACCCAGGAGCCCCTGAGTCTTTCTTTTTCAAATACTGATATTAATGGAAATTTTATAATTTCAAAAAATATATTACAATTTAGGTGCTTAAAATCATGTGGGATGAAAACCAATTGTTTCTATAATAAAACATATAGGTACCAACAGGATGTATTATAAATAGTACCTTCATCGTAGTAAAAAAGTTTCATGGTCAAACAAACATCATTAGGTAAAGGTCCCAGATTTTGCATTAGAATATAAATCTTGCGAATGAGGAGAATACTTGCTTTCTTGGTGTCAGCAAATGACATACTAGATTCACTATTTTGGTTTTTACTAGAAGAGAATCACACATTAATTTCTTTTATGACACCATGGCTTCTGATAACAACTTCACATTTTACTATTTGACATTCTTATTCCTATTATACCATTAAGTTTTTAAGTTGAAAGTTACCATAAAATGTGTTTTAATGTCACTATTATTAAAATTAATATCATTAATATCATTATTAATGTTATAAACTAATAATTTTATTTAAATTAATATGCCTTTTATATAAGATGTTTAAAGGAAATGAATGAGGGACTTTAATTACATTTCTAATCACTCAAGCATACAATAGCTTTCCTACTCTTTGGCTCTTTTCACATTAAAATAGTATAGAATTAGCCACATAATCTGGGCTTGCAGCTACGAAGGATATTTTGCACAGCCACACCTCAATGGTTAATTGGGGATGTTTGAGAAGTTTAAGAATTAATCCTGAAGTTTAGCAATATAGTATTAATATGAATAAGTGGTAATCTGTAATACAAAAAGAAAATGATAAAATACCTTATGAAGTCCATGATTGGTCCATTATTAGAGTACTTGAATTTAAATTGGTAACATTCTGAAATTGTCTTAAATAGAAAACATTGCAGTTATGTATTTGATATACAGTACTGGTGGCCAAGTAGCTACATACAGCTTTTGTATGACTCTTAACATTGATTTAATAGTTTTTTCTGCCATGTTAATCCTTATTGGTCCACTGAAACTTTCAAGTCCTAATAGTAAATTCCCATGATTTGGAATTTGGGGCTTCAGTCTTAAGTGAGATACATATTCTCCCACTAATTGTAATGTATATCATATATACCAGAGGGGAGGAAATCCTTAGCAGGCAGGTAAGAGGGGCAGTATTATCTCTTACTCAAGCAGAATGGCTTTAAGCACAGGGCTTAAATCCTTGCTGTATATAACCGGAAGCAAGTTATTTAAGCCTTCTAAGGTTTAGTTTCCCCAGCTAATAAAAGGGGTTGAAAATAGTACCTATCTCATTGGTGGTTGTGAATATTTAACAAATCGGATAATTTATACAGAGCCCTTAAAATAGTGCCTCGCACACCAATCAATAAATATTAGTGAATTAACAAGGTTGCTCTTTTACTGAAAGAAAAAATGTTCAACTACATAAAACATCTGAAACTAAATGAATATTTTTTGAACAATTAGTTAGCTTCTGAACAATCAACTAATTCACAGCTTTTGCCCATGAGATTTTTTTTTTGTCACCATGGACATATATTAAGCATTAACTGCAGGCATGAGTATCAAAGAGAAGACACATTGCTAGCCTTCTTGAAGCTTTTTTTATTGCTTTCTTTACATTTCAGTGCTCACATAGGAATGGGGATCAGCTCTCTCTTTTTAAAAAAAATCTGCTTCTCCATGACTGAATGAAAAACAGTATTATAATAGTGATAGTGTCATGGTTAAAGCACCAAGATCATGGACTGGCGTCCGTAGGTCCAAATTCTGGTTCTGCCACTGTGATCTTAGGCAAGAAACTTTGTATCTAGGTTTCCTTACCTATAAAGTGGAGATGATAATGGTAGTTACCTTATGAAGTTTATGATGATGAATAAATGAAACAACTCAAAGAACAGAGTCTAATAATAGTAGGTACTCAAATATCTTTCCACTTTGTTTCTTGTTATTGGTTTTCCCTATCACTTCTTGTAATCCCTTCTTTGTCAGATGAACAGGTGGACGTGACTGGATTGGGATGAATATTCAAAGTTCAAGGATAAGTATCTTATTTTTTGTCAAACTCAACCCCTTTCATAATTTTATAAAAAGAACGTTATATAGAAGCAGAAGTCAGGAGATTTAGGTTATTTCTAAGGGGTTTTGGATTTGTGGCCCAGAATCAGTCACACAATCTCTCTGGTAGTAAGTATATTAATCTGTTTAAAGATAACAATACAATCCTTGTCTTACCTCAAAAAAGCCTTTATGAGGTTCAAATGTGAAAATACATGTGAAAGTGAATACAATTAAAAGCATAAGATAAAAAAAAGAAAAAAATAGAAGCATAAAATATTATAATTTATGTTATATTTAGATATTAGAGATATTATGTTTCTTTACTAACTTAAGCACACCTACCTGAGGGTCTTCTGGATTGGTGTATACCTATTTAAAAATAATTTGTAATTAAGTTATAAAAGACTAAGTATTCAAGGAGAACTAAATTGGACGTTTAGACTAAACTATTAAATGGATTCAGCAAAAACAAAGTACAAGATGACCCACCAAAATATCAATTTGTTACTTTTTTCCACTGAATAGATCATTTGTTTGAATAAAGTGACATAATCAATTGCTGGTTTTACTGTTATTTAAATAAGCAAGGCTGAATTTGAAAGTCTTTAAGAAAGCACATACAATTTAAAAATACTTACAGCTAGAACAACCATCCTTAGCTGAAATATAACAAAGAACAAAAATCTTACTTTTACTCTAAAAAATATTTTTTCATGATGGATCACAAGAATTCTTTGTCTTATTTCAACATTTATTCCTAATAAGAAATAATCTTGCAGAAAATATGATGTATATAAAGCAACACCTTGGATGTCCTTCCTTATTCCCCCAAATATCTCTTTCTAGTTGACTTACTGAAGGTTGACATTCATGACATTGACGTAAGCAAATACAGGCATTTCTGCCAGTTACAAGGAAAATATATATTGTGAAATAACATATTAAACCTTACCAATGTAAGAACTGATTTTGAAAAGAGAAAAGTAGAGTTCAGGACTCTGCTCCTTAAATAAAGGGAAGAGGCTTTAGAGACCATAGGAATAGAGAATCACAGGAAATAATCCACTCAAGTTATCTGCCAAAAATCTGAGTCATCCTTGATTTGGATCTTTTCCTTACACTCTACAACCAATCTATCAAGTCCAATCAGTTTTACTGCTAAATATATCCTGAATCTTTTCATTTCTTTCCTTCTCTGCCATGCTGGTCTAAGTGCTGGTGATTTTTCACCAGTACTGCATTAACAGATTAAGCACCATTCTCCTGGATTCCAATCTTATTCTCCTTCCACTGTATATTGTCTTAACAGCAGCCGAAGTGATTTTTAATTTAAAATATAAATCAAATGATGTTACATTTCTACTTAAAACCTTCAAGGGGCTTTTATTTGCACTTAAAATAAAATTCAAACTCCTTACCTATACAGTCCTGAATGCTCTGGCCCTGCCTATCTCCTTAAGCTCCTCTGGTCTATTCTCCCTCCCCTACTGCTCATTGCATTCCATTCCCATTAACACTGGCCTTCTTTTTGTTCTTGAACTCTAAACTCCCCTTCAACTCTTTGTATTTGCTGTTCTGCCAGAAATACTCTCTCCCAAAGTCAATGCCTGGCTGGTTTCTTCTCAATCAAGTCTCAGCTTAAATGTCACCTACTCAGGACCACTCTATCTAAAGTTACCCCACCTCTCCACCTGTGACGCACTTTCTCTCAGTATTTTATTGGCATTTAACACAATTGGAAATATCTGATTTACTTGTTTTATTGACTGTTTTCCCACTACAGAAGGGACCCTCTTTGTCTCATTGACCACTGTTAGTTCACCCAGCTCCTACCTAGAATATGTGTCTAGCACATAGCAGGCACTCAATATTTAATTAGTATTAAATATTTAATGCCTTAATAAGGGAAGTTAGTGACCATGGATAAAATTTTATCTTTTTTACAATTTTGTTCAGAGCTTGACTTCTTTATATATGCTGATATAAACATAAATATATAAAAACACTTACAGTCTACAGTAAACACTTATTAATTGAAATTTCACTTATTCAGAATTGGTGACAATTTAACCTAGACTACACGGAAATTTACTTTTGAACTCTCACAAAGAAATAATTTATTAAATTATTAGTATAAACAAAATCGTAGAAGGAATGTGAAACTAATAAATGAAGTATTTTAAAAGACTTTTTAATTCATTAAGTTTTTGTAAGTTAGTATGTGTTACTAAAACAAATACATGTTAACAATTAAAACTAGCTTGGCAAAATTTGTTAAGTATTAATTCTATTGGCTTAAAATGATTGAATATTAGTCTTTAAAATATTCAAATGTTCAAACTTTTGAGTAATTTGGACTGGCCTATACCCAAGTTAGTTTAAATTAATGTTTTACTTTGTGTCAATTGCTATTACATTTGTAGAGTATAAACTGTAGGAAAAAAGATAAGGAGATATTGACTTACGTATTTTTTTTGTAAAGCATCATAGCATCCTAGCATCCTAAAAAATAACAAAGGATTCATTTTTAGACTGAATGCATTTCCAGAAAAGAATTCTTTTAATAAGTCTCCATGTTATCTCATTACTAAAGAATATAAAATTTTCTTATTAAAGCTCCCTTCTTTTTTTTTTAAGATTTTATCTTTTTTAAGTAATCTCTACACCCAATGTGGGGCTCAAACTTACAACCCTGAGCTCAAGATCAAGAGCCATATGCTCTACTGACTGAGCCAGCTGGGCTCCCCAAAGCTCCCTTCTTATTAACCAGCTTAAAATAATAAAACAAAACAAATAGTGGCAGAAATATAAAATGTTGATAGAGGATGGTTTGGGATAGGAGGTAAAATGTCTGGTAACATTAAAAAAATGTTATTTAAGAAAAAAATAATTTAATATCATTAGGTATTCTTTTACTTACCACTTCACTAACTGTGTAGATCCTGGACAGTTTTTATCTTCTCTCAGAATTTTGACACAAAGATCTAAACACCAAAATGATATAAATATAGGGTTGCTTAAGATTAGTAAACAACTAGAAATTTAACTGAAGATTATTTTCTTCAACTGTGTATTAGAGATATATTATTAAATGGCAATGAACTTCCAGATGATTGGTAGTAATATAATTTAAAAGAAGAAAGGTTTTATGGAAACAAAGAATCTTTTTATCCTTATTATAAAATGGCTTCATAATGATTAAGATACATGTTGATGGGTAGAAAAAAATTATTTTTTAAAAGTTATAAAATATTTGGGGCGCCTGGGTGGCTCAGTCGTTAAGCGTCTGCCTTTGGCTCAGGTCATGATCCCAGGATCCTGGGATCCAGCCCCGCATCAGGCTCCCTGCTCGGCGGGAAGCCTGCTTCTCCCTCTCCCACGCCTGCTTGTGTTCCTGCTCTCGCTATCTCTCTCTCTCTGTCAAATAAATAAATAAAATCTTAAAAAAATTATAAAATATTTAAAGTTAGATATAATGCTTTCACACCATCATTATCCAAGAGTCTTAGAGTATTTGCATGGGCCCTATTCCAATTAAATACTTGTAAAAGACCAAGAAGTTAACTGGCTATCAGAGATAGAGACCTGCAAGAAAGCAACAGGTAATACAATGGAAAGGACTGAGATCTCTGTCTCAGGTTCCTTATCTGAAAAATAGATATAATATCTAACCCACAGGCCTGTAATATGAATTAACGATATAATACATAACATAGCATAACATATTGCCCCAGCATATAGTTAGCTCAAAAAGTTAGGTACATACCATGGGCTGGGTAATGAATTATTACTGTAGTATAAATAGGCTTTATTATTTTACTTCCTTAAAATAACACAAGAACATATACTACCACTGTACAAAGCTATTAATAATAGAATGCTTTTATCTACTTAGTTCATCATTATAAGAGTAATCTCAGGTAAAATTAAACTTGCGAAACTGAGGAAAAATTTTATGATTAAGTGCTTCCAAAGGTATTAAATATACTTAAAAAAAGATTTATTTATTTATTTATTTATTTATTTATTTATTTATTTATTTATTTATTTATTTCAGTGAGAGACAGAGCGTGTGCACAGGGAGGAGGGGCAGAGGGAGAGGGAGAGAGAAACTCAAGCAGACTCTGTGCTGATGGCTGAGCCCCATGTAGGGCTCGATCTGAAGACCCTGAGATCAGGCCTGAACTGAAACTAAGATTCGGATGCTGAACCAACTGCACCACCCAGGCACCCCTTAAATATACTTTTTAAAAACCACTTAGTCCACACAAAAACTTGTACATGAAAGTGGCATTATTTATAATAGCCCAAAAAGTGGAGCGCCTGGGTGGCTCAGTTGGTTCAGCATCTGACTCTTGATTTTGGCTCAGGTCATGATCTCAGGGTCGTGAGATCAAGCTCCATGTCAGGCTCCACGCTCAGCACAGAGTCTGCTTGAGATTCTCTCCCTCTGCCCCTCCCTGCTCCTGCTCGTCGGTCCTCTCTCTCAAATTAAAAAAAAGAAAGAAAAAACATGTAATAGCCAAAATGCATAAACAACTGAAACAAATGTTCATCAACTGATGAAGGAATAAATAAAACGTGGTATATCCATCTAATGGAATAATATTCAGCAATAAAAGAGAATGAAGTACTAATTCATGTTACCATATGGATGAACCCTAAAAACATTGAGAGAAGCTGGTCACAAAGGACCACATATTGTATGAATCCATTTATATGAAATGTCCAGAATAGGCAAATCCATAGAGACAGAGTGCAGATTGGTGGATGCCTAGGACTGGGGAGGTGGGAGAAGTGGAGAATCACTTAGTGGGTATGGAGTTCTCTTATGGGTTGATGAAATGTTCTAAAATTGACTGTGGTAATGGTTGCACACCGATTTGAATATACTAAAAATCTTTCAACTGTGCACTTTAAATTCATGAATTGTCAGGTATGTGAATATATCTTAATAAAGCTGTTATTTAAAAAAACCTCTAAGCAAAAATTACAGTTTTATCTATTATTTTTTCCCATTTTACTTATTTTATTTTTTAATTTAAATTTAATTAATTAATTTATAGTGTATTATTAGTTTCAGAGGTAGAGTTCAGTGTGATTCATCAGTCCTATATAATATGCAGTGCTCATTACATCACAACGTGCTCTCAGTGTCCTTCACCCCTTCCCTTCCAGCAACCCTCAGTTTGTTTCCTATTTAAGAGTCTCTTACGGTTTGTCTCACTCTCTGATTTTGTCTTATTTTTCCCTCTCTTCCCCTATGATCTTCTGTTTTGTTTCTTAAATTCCACATATGAGTAAGTTCATACGATAATTGTCCTCTGATTATTTCACTTAGCATAATACCCTCTAGTTCCATCCATGTCATTGCAAATGGCAAGATTTCATTTTTTGATGGCTGAGTAGTAGTCCATCTTTACGGACTACTACTAGGTATCTTTACTAGATACCTAGTAGTGCAATCGCAGGGTCAAAAAATTACAGTTTTAAAGCAAGCCAAAATAAAAACATGTTTAAAGAAAGAGTTTTGTGTGTGTGTTTTTTAAATAGGCTCCACGCCTAGCATGGAACCCAACATGGGCTTGAACTCATGACCCTGAGATTGAGACCTGAGCTGAAATCAAAAGTCGGACACAACACACTGAGCCACCCAGGCACCTCTAACGAAAGTTTTAAAATAAACATTACATTAAAAAAACTGAAACAAACAAAATATAAACATGATATTACCATCTAGATATCTTGTTCCATAAGCACATTCCGGAAATATTCCTCTCAAATATGTGATGCAGGATACTGAAACTGCTAGGAGCCTCTTCACTAACACTAGAGACTGTTGCTCTGTTGATATCTTATTGGGAAACACCAATGCACTCTAAATTCAAGGAAAATTAAGTTTATTTAATAATAAATTTAGATTTATTTAATAATAAAGTTAGATTTATTAAAAATAACATCTTCCTGAACTTTGAGTAGATCTAATTTTGCATAAGCATGATACTTTCCCAAAGAATCCTAACCATAAAAGAAAAAAAAATTCCTAACCATAGTGGTTAGTAAACCCCAGAAAGTCAGGGTGGCTTCTAAGATGTGAGGGTTGCAGTCTAAAGGTAAAATGCAAAAAGTGGTTAAGAATCATGTTAAAAATCCTCCTGAAGGTTGACTGTCTGTAAGTGCATAATACATGATAGATAACACTTCTTTTCTCTTTAGTTACTGACTAGGTTTGACACAGGTAACTATAACACAAGAACTGTGCAAAGATGAGAATTTTATCTTTGTGAGGAATGGACATTCATTTCCTAGGAATGGACTGCTAAGAATGATAATTTCATCAAAGCAACAGAATAGCATTTATTAACACCTAATGTAAATTGAATATGAACCAGTTATTTAATGCAATGCATCAAATATCTAATACAATTCTCCACTGACTCTATAAAGAGTTTAGTAAATATCTTCAGTTCTTAAAATATGGAATTTCCTGATCTCATTAAACCCTCAAACAGTTGACTCTAACTTCAGAATATAAAAAGAGTTGAGACTTCAAGAAACAATAAAATTAGCTAAATTAAAATACAGTAAAATACACGAACTCATACCATGGAAGTTCTTTGCAACTGTGCAGTGGCCATCTTCCGATAAAGTCTTTTCTTTAATTCAACCTTGTGACACAAACACAAACTTTAACTTCAGATCTTATCTTTATCCCTAATATTCTAGTTTATTCCATGTAAAGTCAGAAAGAACTTTATGCAAATAAATGAAAATAAATTTTACGTGAATTTCATAAATAAACTTTACATAAATAAGTAAATCACAGTATTCAAGCATTGAGTACATTGCTACAGTTAGGTAGGTATCAGGTAATGAAAACTGCCCCTGCCAAACTCTTTAAAATAATCTAAAATTTTTGTTCTGGATGTGTCTGGGAGGGTGCCGTGGATGAGATGAACATTTGAGTTGCTGGACTGAGCAAAGCAGATCACCCTCCCTAGTGTGAACACGCCTCATCCAGTTAATTGAAGACCTGAATGAAACACAAAACCTGAATAAGAAGGAACCCCTTCTGCCTGACTGCTATGCTGGGACATCTGTCTTTACCTGCCTTTGGACTCAAACTGAAACTTCAACTCTTTCTTAAATCTCCAGCTTGCTAACTGCAGATCTTGGAACTTTTAATTGTGTGACTAATTCCTTATAATAAAGATCTTTTATATATGTATACCTAAAAAAAAAACCCAACAACTGTTGGGGTGCCTGGGTGGCTCAGTCCGTTAAGCGTCTGCCTTCAACTCAGGCTCAGGTCATGAAGCCCCTCCCTCCTCTGACTCCCTGCTCAGCGCGGAATCTGCTTCTCCTTCCCCCTCTGCCCCTCCCCCTGCTCCTGCTCTCATGTGCGAGCTCTCTCTCAAATGAATTAAAAAAAAAAAAACTTAAAAAAAAGAAAATGAAAAAAAATCTTAAAATTTTTGTTTTAAATTTGTAGTTTTGACTGAATCCCGTGACGTTCCTTCACTGAACTTCAGCATGGCTCTCGATATAATGACATATTGTCCTACTCTGTGGAACAACCATAAAAGAGGAACAGAAAATATTCCAGATTTTGGCTGATTCCGATTTCTCGATTATAACTGTTATTTTCATGTGAGTTTCAATTTTTTTGGTCCCCAGTTTCACTTTTCTTAATCAGACAATTCAACTGGAAGAGGTCCCAGAAGAGACGATTTGCTGTACATGTTTTAATTGATCCTGACAAAGCCTGGACCAGACGCCAGAGTTAACCTCGCCTCAAGAACCTTTTGTGAAAAATAAGTAGGTCTACCTTTTCCCCCGTGTGTTTCACCATTAAGACTTTAAGAAACTTAAAAGGAGTTGGGAGGTGTTAGAAAATGAGATTAAAAAGCAAAAAAACAAAAACAAACACGAAAGAAAACAAACAAACATATACATTACGGAACCTCTGAGGGCTGGCGCCAGCGACCACCAAACCTCCACCACGCAGCGCGCGCTTCGCCTGATGCGCAGGCGTTTTCCTTCAACCGTCGCTGTTGAAGGCGCGGCAGCAGCCTTGTGACTTCCAGTTGCTTTCCCGCCAAGAGCCGCGCAAGGCGCTCTGGGAATCCCGAGAGGCTGAAGAGCCAGTCTCAGCCAGAGAAATGCCAGATTGCTAGCAGGTTAAGGTTAAGGAATTACATGTACCAAGCCTTCCCGAAATACTTAGCTTTCCTACAGTGACTAAAGTGTTCTCAACTGCCGTTTAATTAATCCTGTTAATTTCTGATTGTTTTCTAACTTTCGATTTTGTTGTTGGATCTGCCGCAAATGCATTTCATTCCCACCTTAGTCTCCTGTGTCTTCAGGAAACCAGGTGATCCGGCAGTCTCCTACTTAGCTATTTCTACTGTGCTGTCTGTGGGGGCAGTGGATAGCTTCGAGTGTAATGTCTCATTTAGAAGCAATAATAAAATCAGAGCTGGTCGGTAGTTGGAGATTGCTGAAGAGTACAAGCTGTTTACAAATTGTTATACATCCGAATAAATTGTGTTAGCAGTGTAAACATATCATAATTATTCATTAACTTTGATATGTCTGCATTACCCGTTAGAAAACAGCCACCCCAGTATGAAAAGATTTGCCCAGAGTCAATCAGGAGAGGAATGAAGTCTAGAACCTTGTTTTCAATCAAAAATTGTGAAATCCCCTGGTCTAGTGATTATTTTGCTTCATAGTTCTTTCACGCTTGAAGTTTACAAGGGGCTAAAATTCACTATCTTATTCTTCTATCTTACTCCTACTTTGCTTCTTCTAAGACCTTTGTCTTAGGAAGAAAACACAAGTATTTCTCCTATTTTAGAGGTGACAAAACAGATCCAGGTAAACTTGGTTTCCGAGACCACAACCAATTTCAGCCGTGCCAGAGGGGGAGCAACGACACCATAATAATGACACGTTAGGTTTATGATTCGGTGCTTCTTACTACATTTACTTTTGAGTTATTAACAACAAACAAAAAACAAAAAAATAAATAGTTCCTCTTGAATCACAGAATCAGAATAATGCTGTAGGGGATGAATAATTTCTCCTCTAGTTTCTTAGGGTCTCTGGCTGGACCTAAGAATTTAACTGACAGAAAACCGATTAACAGGAAAAAACATACAAATTTTAATTATATCTTCTTTACATGCACTTGGGAGACTTCACAAGAAAAGTTAAGACCCAATTGAGTTGAATGCTTTATATACTGAGTTGGACAAAGAATAATAAATTGTGAAAATGTGACTAGGCAAAGGGGCTCGGGCTGGAGCAGTTATATGAGTGAGTGACTAGAAAGATAGGGGTTAGGTTAACAAGGTTTGTTTGTATAGATTTATCGTGGCCTCGACCTCATGCCTTTGGTGACATGAATTTCTCTTTCCTTCTGAAATAGGGACGATATCTTTCACATGGGAATTTTATCTCCTGCTTTTAAGAAAAGGAAGGAGAATCAGAATGTCCTTCTTGCAGCTGCTATTTTTCAAGTGCTTTTAACTCAAAATAGTATGCTGGAGCATCATGTTTTTGGGTGCTGTGTTCTGAACTCCTTCAATACAATCAGTAACTACCGATTTAACTAACTATATCATTGACTATATTTTGAGGGTGAGAGTGGAGAAACGGGTGGTGTTGATGCATCGATTACCATAATAGTAAGTAGATACCATTAAAAAGAGCAATACAAATATATTAGAAACCTGAAAGTAAATACTAAAAGAAACAGCTAAAATAATTATCATTGATTTAAAAGTATTACTGATTTTAAAAATAATTGGTTAAGGGTGGTTAATGCCTGGGTGGCTTAGTCAGTTAAGCAACTGCCTTTGGCTCGGGTCATGATCTCAGGGTCCTGGGATTGAGTCCCGCATCAGGCTCCTTGCTCAGCTTCTCCCCTTGCCTGCCTTGCTCAGCTTTTCCTTCTGCCTGCCCCTCCTCCTGCTTGTGCTCCAGCTCTCTCTGACAAATAAATAAAATCTTAAAAAAAAAATTGGTTAAGAGAATGGGATGTCAGGCTTTTACAGATACCCACTATAAAACAAACAGCCTTCAGTTATGCATAGTGTTAATCACAGTACCATTTTGAATGTGTTTCTGAATTGTTTGATAACAGCTACTAGGTACTTACTGTAGAGAACATAACATTTTTACTGTCTAGAAATTGATAAATTCTTGGTTATATTACACAAGTACTGCCCAAATACACATATCTATGTACTATGGATCGATTTTTGTACAATTTATCATTTGCTGTTTGAAATTGTTGGGGAGAAAATCTTTTCCTGTATCCTTTTCGATTTTGTACTTGGGGGCCTGCATTTTAAATGCACAACAGACAGACTAGCAAGAGGGAAAAACAAATTTAAGTATGTATATATGCACAGGCATTCACAAAGAAACGTGACTCAAGGATGTGGTTAGATTTTGGAGTTTATAAGCCATCTTAATAGGGGAAGGGGAGGAGTAGAGGGGAACTTATGAGAGAACATATGACTTGTAGGAAAAATGAATGGGCCCTTAGGAGAATAGGTGGGATATATGATAGTTTTATGACAATGTCTCTTTAGGTGATTTCTTATCCAGGGGCTGACTTGTGCTGACTTCTTGTCTTTGGTAATAAGAATTAATCGTCCCCTGTTGTGAAACTCCTTGGGAGGGGATTCAGGACAATTGAATTCTTTTTTTTTTTTAAAGATTTTATATTTATTTGACAGAGAGAGACACAGCGAGAGAGGGAACACAAGCAGGGGGAGCGGGAGAGGGAGAAGCAGGCTTCTCGCCGCCGAGCAGGGAGCCCGATGCGGGGCTCGATTCCAGGACCCTGGGATCATGACCTGAGCGGAAGGCAGACGCTTAATGACTGAGCCACCCAGGTGCCTCCAACTGAATTCTTTTGAGAAGCTTTGCTTTTAAGAAAATAAAAGGAATGGAGGAAAAGCCTCTTCCTGCAGTCATTGATTTTCAAATTTCTTCAGTTCAAAATAATCCTTATGTCACTGGAGCATACTCCAGACCCCTTCAAAATTAATGATAAAAAAGCGGCACCTGGGTGGCTCAGTTGTTAAGTGTCTGCCTTTGGCTCAGGTAATGATCCCGGGGTCCTGGGATCGAGCCCCGCATTGGGCTTCCTGCTCCTCAGGAAGCCTGCTTCTCCTTCTCCCACTCCTCCCCCTGCTTGTGTTCCCTCTCTCGCTGTGTTTCTCTCTGTCAAATAAATAAAAAATCTTTTAAAAAATTATTAATGATAAAAATGATAAAATGATAATGATAAAAAGTAACATACATGTATAAGTTGCCAGTATATGCATAATAAATTCTAGAAAGATGTACAAGAAACTCATAATAGTGGTTACTTCTGGGGAGGAGGGATCTAAGCCTTTAGGGGAAAGGAGTGGAATAGAAATTTTTCACTGTTTTATATAGTCAATCTTCATTATTCACAGACTTCATAAAAGTGAATTTGCCCAGTTACTAAAATTAATTTGTAACTTCCAAATTAAAAAGCAATTCAACCATAACAAAGTAAATCCATGGAATGGAGCTCTTCTACTGGAAGACATGGAATCCCCCAATATCATGAGGACACATTAGAGTTCTGGGCCAATAAGCCAGCACATATCTGAGCAG